GTTACATAAAATCTTATGTTCTTCAATGTAGTTTGGTATCAAAACCATCTTTCTAATAACACTCTCTTGTTTATGCCACAGAGATTAAGCTTTTGAAGATGACCAATGCAGACATATTACTATAACATATTCAGAACTTAACCAATGTAAACATTTTATAATAACATATTTAGCGCTTAAACATCAATGATAACCAATGTAATCAATTTATAATAACATTTAGAATTTAAACTTCAATGATAACCAATGTAATCAATTTATAATAACATATTGAGACAATATTTGTTGTGGTGTGTCTCCCATAAGGTTATGAAAATTACTAGGGGGGGTCCCTTTAGTGAGTTAAGACCAGAATAATTATTTTCTGGGTGGCCACTTCTTTATTCACCAAAGGGAGTACCCACAGTCTCTATTTACTTTGACAAACAGATAATAAGAATATATATATCTTCTTATTTTACAACTGCTTATTGCAATTTCATTATTGCATGTAGGTGACAGTACACATTACTTTATAAAATAAATCTTGGTGGCACTTTGATCAACTAGCAAGCTGGGAAGGAGGGCATGCCTTTAATTTAATAACATTTATCTGTAAACCAATTTAATAATAGGTGGATATCTTTTAAGAAAAAAAAATTTTTTTTCAAAAGGTGAAAAGGAAAAGAGAAAAGAAAAAAAAATTGAGCTCACTGTACAAACAGACAACAGACAAATATATAAGACAATTTATAAAATTAGAGTGCACTCAAATATATTTGGCCAAATTGAATTATAATATCCTTTTTATGATTATTAGGTTTATAATTATATATAAGACTGGTCAAAAACTTTCGTAGTCAATTAACAGAGATCTCTTGAGATTAGAATCAGAAGGAATGCAAGTGCTTTTATGCTTATAAATGTAAAAAGAATATTTTCAAGTTGTGTCCCCCCCTTTTAAAAAAATCTATATTTATTCTTCCTCTGGGGACATCATCTCAATCCTGGACCCCGCTGTGGATTTGTTGGTTGTTGCTGGTGAGGTGGGTCGCTCAGGTGCAGCTGGCTCATCACTCTCAGCCGGGGTGCTATCACCCATTCTCCAAGATGTTGGTGGTTCCACCAGCGTGACCTACAGTCTCATGTTCCGGGAGGGCAGCCACAAGGTTTCATCATTATCTGTCAGCACACAGGCAAAACCTCTCCCCCAAGTTATTAAGGCAGGAGCAATTTTTTGACACATGGCCTTTTGTAATCTTAAAAACAAGTTAAATAATTTAGGTTCTAAGGTAGAGCAGACCATAGCTCCTTCCAGTCTTTGAGTCAACCAAACTGCATAAGTAGAATCACTTAAAATATTAAGAGGTTGGGGAAGGAAGTTTTCAATCACAAATAGAATGGCTAGCAACTCTGACCTCTGAGCAGAGTGGACTAAGGCCCAAGTGGGGAGCGTTCAGGGGAGAGATGATCACCCCTTCACCAGGCCTCACGGAGAATAGTACCTACATGTTCCCATGATATTAAGTTAGTTGTCGGGCCGGGGATTTAGCTCAGTGGTTTTGGCGCCTGCTGCGCAAGCGCAAGGACCAAAGTTCAATCCCCGGCACCAAAAAAATAAAAAAGTTAGTTGTCCCTTCCTGGGGAAAAGATGAGACATACATATTTATGTCTTTTAACAAATCTATCAGAGCATCCTTAGGTACTGGGTACATAGCTTGCTTTAACAGTGACTTAATTTGGCAAAGTTACACTGCTCCGATGACAGAGACTGACCCATAGTTGTAACTCAGCAAACATAGAAAATTACCCCCAGCTGGACACACTTAATACCAGTGGCCCTCGTCCAAGTCCGGAAATTGTTCTGGGAGATCTGTGTGCTGTCTCTCTTACTCCAAGTTTGCCTCACAGGCGAGTTCACCCCTGGATCAGATTCACATCCAAGTTGGGCACCAAATATGGGGAATAGGGAAAGAGGACGTTACTAGAACCTCTGCAGTTAAGTCCCAGTCTCCTGCAAGCCATGGCAGTACACCGTGAATTACAGGAAAGGTAGAAAAATGAGACTGAGAAGAAGCTGAGCTTTGGGTCTGATCAGTGCCACTCTGGGGAGCAAAGACGAAAGCCCCCAGCTTACCGCACCTTTAATTCAGTACATGGGGAGAAACAAAGTGTAACAAATGACTTGCAGAGAGTTCAGTACATCCTGCGTAAATAAGATGTGACAATCCAAGAACAATGAGGAACTGAGTAGGTGTTTGTTCCTCCCAGGATGTTTTCAGCTCCCAGGATGTTTCTAGTCCTGGAGAATCACAGACAGCATCACCGGATCATTGAGGTCGCAGTTGTGACCGGAGGCCAAAATGCAATTATGTCTCGGAATTCCATAGCTGCGTTGTAGGCAGGAGAACTAGGCTAACCAAATGATTTTTCCCTAAAATTATGTAGCATTGCTCCCGACAGTTCACCACTCTGCCATCTTCCCAGAAACCCCACATGGTTTTGCTCTCAGCCACAATGACTCTTGATGTGTGCTTGAAGCGACCAGGAGGTCCAGGAGGGACCCATTCTGATGCTTGCCCAGAAGGAAGATTTGGCCGGGAAGGGATCCTCCAATTCCACATGGGATGAGAGGAATGGAGATGGGGCCCTCCATGTGACTCATACAGAACCCCAGCCACCACCCAGGCAGGTATCTTCCCCAGCACCCAGGGGAAGGTGGCTCAGTTCACTGAGATGAATGCCTAAGACTTCCAGTTCATGCTGTGCATGGAGATGTGGGTGGACAGGGAGACATGATCAGGAGGGAGTTCTGTGCTGGATCTGGCAGAGGATTGATCACCACCTGCCAGAGCCCGCCATAATGATTATGCCCAAAACATATTGTAAGTAGTGCAGGCTGCAAAGAGTTAAATCCCTCAATTGGCTTACTTTAAGAAGTGAGTCCAACTGAAGCTAGGTGACTCACAGAAGTATCTCATGAGCAACGCGGTAGTGCACAGGTCAGTATGACCTCCCTGCTAACGGCCACGGCCGAGACCAGAGGAATGGCCTAGGAAGCTGTGGGGCTAATAGGAGATAATGCGTGTAGCTGAGGTCGGAATAAATTGCACCCAAATTCCATTCCCACAATTAGTGCCTTCATAATTTGAAGGACAATGCTCTAATTACAACCATATATTTTGTCTGTCTTGCTTCTAATTTGAAAATGCTTTGACTCTTCTCTTTAAAGCCTTGCCTGGATTGGTTTCCATGGAGATTTCACATATTATACATCTATATATGCACCTTTTACCCTGATTGATGAATAATAAAATTCGGTGGAAGAGGCAGGCCAGTGCCTTTTGCCAAAGGAGCATTGGCCATCCCAGTTCACACTTTTCTCTTGAAAAGTGTCTTAAGTTTTTCTTCAACCTTGCATTGCATACTGGGCAGGTGGGGGACTAGAGACTTACTGCAGGAGTGTCTGGCAACTACTGATCCACTGGCCAGAGGCCTGGAGTACGGCAGATTCTCTCCTCTTAGACTGTAATCTTTCCCCAGCAGGGATGGGGAAGGCTATAGCCACAGAGTCAGCTATGCAGGACATTTTGGTTGGAAAGGGTATGGCTATTTGGTTGTAAAGAGCACAATGACAGAATGAGACAAGAGGATTCCCCGTGATATTAAGACCCACAACACCTCCACTGAGGAGACGCCACCTGGCTCAGTCATTTTCCTTGTCGCTGAGACACAAGACCTAATACCCACAATTTAAAGGAGGAGAGGTTTATTTTGGCTCACATTTCAGTCCTTGCATAACTGGCCCGCTCCAAGGCCAGATGGCATGGCAGAGGTGCTGGTGGAGGAAGCTGCTTACCTCATGGGGGCCAGGAAGCAGAGTGGAAAGGGAGGAGCTGAGGAGGGAAGAGTCACCCTTCCAGGCTACACCTCGTTTCCTAACAGCATGTCTGGCTATAGCACATCATGGTTCAGTCACCTTTGAAAAGCTCCACTAGGGGGCCGAGGATTTAGCTCAGTGGCACTGTGCCTGACTCGCAAGAGCAAGGTCCAGAGTTTAATTCCTGGTGCCAAAAAAAAAAAAAAGCAAACCAAAGCAAACCAAAGCTCCACCTATGAACACATGAGGCTTTGGGGGGACATCTAAACATAAACCATGACCGGGCCCCATCAGCATCCAGGCCCTCTACATAAAAGGTCTTACACTCCCCGTCCCTTAAAGGTTCCAACCCCCTCAACACTCCACACTGAGGACCACACCTCCAGCACATGGACCCCTGGGGACAGAGACACCCGAGCACTATCAGTCTCCTTGGGGGTGGGGAAGGTATTGCTACTGGAAGCCGCCCCACTCCTCAGCCTCTGTGACCTCACACTGAGACTTCTTCCCTTCTGTCCTGGGCTGTGGCTTCTGAAGCTGTCATCACTGTGGAACTCTGAAAGCCTTGGGGTGGGGGGTGGGGGCGAGGAGGAGCCTGGTGCCTTTGATTTCCCCAGGTGGCACAGGGGGACTAGCTGCGCTAGCCAGGCGGCTCTTAAAGGATGCCATGTCCCACATGAAAGGCCCCCAACCCCCACCTCTCATCTCATTTTCCTGGTTCCTTCTGAGCCTGCTCCCTGCCTTCAACGTGGTCCTGCTGGTCGTTTTCAGTGGGCTCTTCTTTGCATTTCCGTGAGTCTCGGGTGCAAGCTGTCAGATTTCCTGCAAAGAGACAGAAAGGAACACAGATAACAACAGGGAAGAGGCAGAGAGTGGGGAGAGGGGCACAGGTCAGGGAAAGAGGATATTTTAGTTACAGGGAGCCAGGCAGGCAGGCGGAAGTCTAGAGGGCCCTGGGGGATCTGGGCAGCTGCAGGTAGCTGCTAATGCTGGTGACATCCGGTGGAGCCTTGGAGGTCTGTCCCCACAGTGGAGATTCAGAGCTGGCTTGAGGGAAAGAGAACCAGGCAAGCCTGGCCTGGGGGCGGGAGGCAGAGCTTTGGGTCACTCTGGGTCCAGACTGAGGCAGGTCTGGTCTCAGTTGCAGGTGGCTGGTTCAGAACGGGGAATGGGCCGTTCCTGCCATCACAGGCCCCCTCTTCGTCCTCACCTTCTTCAGTCTCATCTCACTCAACTTCTCAGACCCGGGTACCTTACATCAAGGTGAGGCCTCAGGCCCCTAGGAGGTGGAGGTGGCACCCCAAGGGCTGGGGACTGCAGGGGTGATGTCTAAAGTACCCCCCCCACCACCTCCAGCCCCAGGACCCCTCTTCCCAATGCCGTGGGGCGGTCCCCAGGCAGCAGAGTGATGGAGGGGTCTCTCCCCATGCCAGGCTCCCTGAAGGAGGATCCCATGTTGGTCCACGTGGTGTGGGTGAACCACAGGGCCTTCTGCCTGCGGTGGTGCCCAAGCTGCTGCTTTCACCGCCCACCTCGGACTCACCACTGCCCCTGGTGCAACATCTGTGTGGAGGTGAGCACCCCTCGCCTGCCTCATCCTCTTCTGGCTGGGTGCTCCGCATCAGGCATGGTGACTTCCAGGACTGCCAATGGCCAAGGGTGCCAGGGATTCTCACACAGGTCACTGCATCTGGCCGGCACCTGTCCTAGGGGGCTGCACAGGTGCCCACAAGCCCGGGCATCCATGTTCACACCATCCATGCTAACTATGGCTCCAACGACGGAGATGCCTGCATCAGGGCTTTTGTGACTCAGTTTCTTCCCTAGTGGAAGCCAGTGCATGGGGTGAAGGTCAGGTGGCCTAGAGGGAAGGGTTGGGGGAGCTCAAGATTTGGGGACAGGTCCTCACGGCTGCCCCTGCTGCTTGTCGCCCAGGACTTTGACCACCATTGCAAGTGGGTCAATAACTGCATTGGTCACCGCAACTTCCGCTGCTTCATGCTGCTCATCGTGTCCCTGTTCCTCTACTCCAGCGCCCTGCTGGTTATCTCTCTGGTGTTCTTGACGCGCACCAGCCACCTGCCCTTCAACCTGGACAAGGCCATGGCGTATCCGCACTGGCCTAGGCCCGCGTGGGGGACAGGGTAGGAGGCCCCACGGAAGGGTGGAGCTAAGGGAGAAGCTGCTTGGGTGGGACCAGCATAAGACGGTGAACGTGGGAAATAGGTAGGACAGGGGTCACAACCAGGGTCAGGAAGGCAGGAAAGGGACAGAGGGGACCACAGCATGGTAGGGTGAGATTTAGCGTGAGCGGGCAGAAGTAAGGATGGAACACGGGGAGTGGATGGATGGGGCTGGATGGGGCGGGACTAGGATGGAGTTAGGGAGAGAAGGGGCGGGAACGGGCGGGGCCAAAGTGGAGCTGAGAGAGCCAAGGTGGGACTAGGAGGGGCTATAATTGGTGGGCGTGGCCAAACGGGCCGGCCAGGGTGGAACTAGGACGGGGCTGGGGCGAGGCTAGGATTGGTGGGCTTGACTAGGATGGGCAGGGAACAGTGGAGAAACTGCGGTTGGTGGGTGAGGCTAGGCTTGAGCGGGTGGGGATAAAATGGGGCGGGGAGGGGCGGGACTAGGGTTGGGGGCGGGGCCACGGGGAGAGCTCGTTCTCTGGCTCCTTAGCGGCTCGCTCGCAGCCTGGTGGTGGCGGTCCCCGCCGCCGGCTTCCTGCTGCCGCTCTTGCTGCTGCTGGTGAGCCAGGTCCTGTCGGTGAGCACGGCTGAGCGCTCCTGCAAAGGCCAGGTATGCGGGCGATGCGGGCTGCGGGCGGCGCCTCCCCTCCCAGGTCGCGGTCTCCGCGGCGCGGCGCATGAAGGCCGGGTGAGGGGTGGTGGAAAGTGGAGTCACCCTTGGGTGGGCCAGGTTAGAAAAGCCCAGATGTCGAGAGTGGGATTTAGTCTCGAGGCAGGGGAACCTGGGAGCCAGGTTTAGGATTTCCTAAAAGGTGTACCGAGGAGTAATTCACAAACTGTAGGATCCAGCCCTTCTTAGGGTATTTAGCCATTCTTAGTTGGGAATTTTGACAAATGGATGCTGTCCTGTGACCACCACGACGATTGGGGACCGAACAGTTCCACTGCCCCAGGAAAGTTTTCGTGGGCTTTCTAGTCCGTTTTCCCTCCTCTGAAGCTCCTGGCGACCACTCACCTGTGGTCCTCCTTACCGGCTTTCCTTTTCCGGAACCTCAAGCCAGGCTCCGTCACTTAGCCCCTGGATTTGGGATTGGGCGGCGTTGAGGTCACATCCTACTTTATTCCCTTTGCTTGCCGTGTACAGTCTCATTGTGTGGGAGTACTGCAGACCATCCATCCATCGCCTGTTGGATTTTATATTGCTTTTAGTTCTTGGCGATTCTGAGTAAAGTGACTACAAACACTGGTGCACGACGTGAGCAGACCTTTCCGCCTCTGTTGGGTAAATTCTCAGGGATGGCATTGCTGTGAGTTTAACTTTATAAGAAACAGTTCCTACCAGCAATGTATGAGGATCCCAATTACTCTGCGTCCACATCAACATTTGATATCGTCAGTTTTTAAAATTGTAGCCAGTCTAACAAATGTACAGCAGTATCTCCTGTGGTTTCCATGTCTTTTGTTCTTTTCTTTTCTTTTAAAAATCTTTTTTCATGTTTTTACTGTGTGGAGGAGTAAACTCAGGACCATCACACTGAGCTACATTCCCAGCCCTTTTAAAATTTTGTACAATATTTTATTGCTCAGGCTGGGCTCAAACTTTTGATCCTTCTGCTTCAACCTCCCAGAATGCTGGGTTTACAGGTATGTGCCACTACACCTGGCGCAGTTTCTCATTATGGTTTTCTAGTGAGTAATGCTGTTGAGCATCTTTTCATGTTCTTATTTGCCATCTGTATATCTTTGATGAAGTGTATGTTCTAATCTTTTGCCTAGTGTTTAAAAATTTGTGTTGTTTTCTTGTGGGGTCTTAAGAGTTCTTCAAATATTCTGAATTTGGCTGTATTTTGCAAGTATTTTCTCAAAATATGTGACCTGTCATTTTATTGTCTTCACAGGGCATTGAAAACAGCAGATATTTTTGATGAAGCACAATTTTTATCTTCTTTTGTTGTTTGCAGGCCAGGGTCTTGTGTAGCTCAGGCTGGCTTTGAACTCACTATGTTGCCCAGTCTGGTCTCGTACTCACAGTGAGCCTTCTGCCTCAGCCTCGGCTCAGCCTCCCTTTTGCTAGGGTTACGGACATGCACCATCACCCCTGCCCTGTACCATCACTCTTGGCATCCATTTCCTCATTATTATTAAAAAAAATACAGTGTTTTTGTTTCTGTTTTATTTTTTGGTACCAGGGATCGAACTCAGGACCTTGCATTTGCCATGCAGGCTCAACGCCACTGAGCTAAATCCCTGGCCCTTTGTTTTGTTTTTTTGAAATGGGGTCTCACTATGCAGTTCAGACTGACTTTGAATTCACTATGTAACCCAGACCAGCCTTGAACTTTCTGTGATTCTCCTGCCTTAGCCTTCAGAGTCCTGGGATGACAGGCATGTGTGCCACCACAACTGGCAGAAAATACAGTGGATTTCTGTACATTGGTCTTAAATCTGCAATTTTGCTAGACTTGCTTATTAGTTCTAAAATCTTTTTGTTGATTCTACATGAAAAATCATGTCCTCTGTAGGTAAGAAAGATTTCATTGCTTCCTTTCCATCTTTATAACTTTCTTTTCTTTTTCTTCTTTTCCTTCTTTCTTTTTTGATTTTTTGATAGGTTTCAAACTCACAGTGATCCTCCTGCCTCAGCCTCTCAAGTGCTGGGATGATCGGCATGTGCCAACATGCCCGGCTTTCATTTAAGCATTTTCTATACTTCATATACAACCCACATTTTTCTATACTTCATATGCATCTAATAAATCCAAATTTAATATCCTAAATTTAAAAATTCTGAAACTTTCATCAAGCTGTTCGAAATATTTCCTCAGAACTTTGAATAGGACCCAGCTTTATCTTTTGAGCTTTAACCCCTGGGAGGAGGCTGATGCTCCTCTAGCACAATGGCTCCTGTACTTCTACCAGCCACGGTGGGACATTTGGAGCCACTGGGCCGGGCTGATTCCTCAGGCGAGGGCGGTGTTGAAGATCAGTCTTCCTGCCAGGCATGGGGGATGGGGTGTTGGGTGGGCAGAGGGGCTACTGAGCCACTTTTCATTGGGACCAAACACTTGCCAGCGAGGGCTCTTGAATCCATGTGAGGCTCAGACTGGGGAATAAGGGGCTTGGGAGGGGGTGGGGCTGAAGGGGGGACCTGAGTGAGGGCGTCCTAGGGAGACTTGACCTTTACTGCCTTCAGCCCAGATTCTCCTGGGCCATGTGGCCTTTGGTTAGGAAAGTGTGATTAGCCCCACACTGCCCCTCCAGATAGTGAAATCCAATGAAGGTGTTGCTTAGGGAAAAAATCAGAGATTTAGGATCACTGGAAATTGGAGGCCAGCCTGAATTACTATGCAGACCCTGTCTCAAAACAAACAAACAAGCACCGGGTGTGGTGGCACATGCCTGTAATCTCAGTACTTGGGAGGCTGAGGCCGGAGGATTGCCACAAGTTAGAGGCCAGCCTGGGCTGCATAGTGAGTTCAGGGCCAGCCTGAGCTACATAGTGAGAGCCTGTCTCAAAAAACAAAACAAAACAAAAAAATCAAAACAAACAAAAACAGAGAGATGAGAGATGAGAAAGCAGAGTGGGGGACTCTCTTTGGAGCAGTTGAGTAGCAGAAGGAAGATCTGAGAAGGTGGCAGGAGGGTGCGTGTGGCCAGTGGGGACAGAGGGCAAGGACGCCCCTGAGGGAGGGACAGGATAATGGGGCCTGATGCGGCCGGGGAGGTGGCTAGGTGCTACCGGTCAAGCTGCTCAGAAGGAGGCAGGAGACTGCAGCTCTGCTGAGGCTCGGGTGTGGCTTCCCGTCCCTCGGTGTGGCTGCAGCCCTGGCTGAGGGTCCCTGGAATGGCCCACCCAGTCCTGCTGGTTCCAACTCCTCTTCCCCTCTGCCTCCCCTCCAGTGCAGAGACCTTCAGGGATACAACCCGTTCGACCAGGGCTGCACCAGGAACTGGTACCTGGCACTCTGTGTACCGCTGGGATCCCCGTGAGTCTGCAGACAGTGGCCAGGGAGCAGCCAGGCCGTGGCGGGTGGGGTCAGAAAAGCTGGGTCCCCTTCACCTCAGCTCCCAGGCCCTGCTCCTCTGCCCTTCCCCTCGGGTTTCTCCAGGGCACTGGGGAGCTCCTGCCTCCTTGGGCCAAGCAGTGGGGTGTGAGAGCTGTGCCCCAAGCTACAGAGCGCAGGGACCCCCGCATTGGCCTCTCCCCAGGTACATGTCTGACGCTGTCTGGCTGCAGAGACCAGTGGGGCCCAAGGGGCCGCCCGTGCCAGCGCCGAGCCCCCCTGCTGTGCCCCTGCACTCACTGTCACCCACCCTGTCTGGGGAAGGGGGTGCTCTCCAGGAGGTGAGAAGTGGGGTGCGCTGAGAAGGGCATGAGGGGAACCCCTGGGCTGGGGTACTCAGTGCTTAGGGGCCGGGGATGCCGACCTGGGGGACAGGGAAGGGGGTCACAGGCTTCCAGGGCATGCCCAGGAGTCCTGGAGACAGCGAGAGAAAAGATTGCACCTCTTATTTCTCTGGCTGGCCTTGGGCCAGTCACTTACTTTCTCTGAGGACTGAGAGTAGTTCAGTGCTTTATGCTTTGAGGAGGATTCCTTTATTTATTATCATTATTTTTTTTTTTTTTGGTACCGGGGATTGAACTCAGGACCTTGCGATTGTGAGGCAGGCGCTGGAACCACTGAGCTAAATCCCCAGCCCAAGGATTCCTTTATTTAAAGGATTTTTCTTTTTCTTTCTGTTTTTCTTTGGTGTCACTGAGGATTAAATTTAGGGCCTTCTCACTGAGCTACATCTCCAGCCTTTTAAATTTTTTTTTTTTTGTACCAGGGATCGAACTCAGGTCCTTGCACTTCTGCCACTGAGCTAAATCCCTGGCTCCAATTTTTTTTTTTTTTTGTAATGATTTTCAGGAAGTTTTTTGTATAGGTGTTGCCGAAGCAAGCACTTCTTTGGTTTTTTTGAAACAGTGTCTTGCTATGTAGTTCAGGCTGACCTAGAACTCATGATGCAGCCCAGGCTGGCTTCAAACTTGTGGCAATTCTGCTGCCTCAGCCTCCTGAATACTGAGATTACAGGCATGTGCCACCACCCCTAGCTAGGAGATTCTTTGTGAAGTTTCACGTGAAACATCTAAAGTGGAACATTAGGAGTTGGAGCTGGGCATGGGGGCACATACCTATAATCACTCAGGAGGCTGAGGCAGGAAGATCGCTATGAGTTTGAGGCCAGCCTGAGGTACAAAGGAAGATCTTGTCTCACAAAAAAAAGAAAAAAAAGAGCCCAGGCCCTGACTGAGTCCTGCAGTACTCGCCTCTCCTTCGCTCTGCTCAAAGGCAGGGACTTGGCTGTGCGCCATGGCGCACATGTTTCTTCTCTGTGTCTAGCTGCCCACCGGCTCTGCTTAGCCCGGCTGCAGGAGACCCCTGGACTTCCACTCCCTGTCCATCCCCAGCAGGGCCAGGAGCATCTGCACCCAGTCGTTACCACCTGAGCCATGTGGAGGCTCTGTGCCTGCCTTACCCACTCCCCTGGCAGGAGGACCGAGATCACCCTGCCTGCCATTAAATTAATACCTTTCATGAGTGTTAATGCCCTGTTGTGTGTCTGTCTTAGGTGTCAGGAGCCTGGGGTGGGGGTAGGCTGTCAGGGGCTGGGACAAAGTCTAGGGACCCCTGGAGATTTGAGCTCTGGACCCAGCACTGCCTGGCTTTGTGAACTTGGGCAAGACACTTAACACTTCTGCTATCCTTAAAATGGTGCAACAGTGCCAGGCGTGGTGGAGCTCGTCTGTTATCCCAGTGCTTGGCAAGGGCAGGGGGGCTGAGGCAGGAGGATCACCTAGAGCGCAAGGCCAGCCTGGGCTACCTATGGGTTCAAAACCTGGGACCATCCAACCTCAGCCCTGCAGCACCCACGTCTGGCTGCAGGGGGCACCAGGTGCATGGGAACTGGTGAGCCTGGCCCTCCTGTCATCCTAAAGGCCAGTAGTGTGGGGTGCTGCCCCTCTCCGTCCAGCCTGCACCCTGCCTGTCTCCATCTAGCTCAGGTCCCTGCTCCTGCTGGGCAGCATGTGCTGGTTCAGGTCCTGCCCCTGGGTTGGGCCCAGGCCCTCAGAATCTGCATGCCTGGGGGTGGAGGAACACCCCAAACTGTGGCTCTGCTAGTGTGATTGCGGAACTGGGAACAATACTGCCCCCTAGAGGGCTGACAGGTGGGCGAGGTGCCTCATTCGTGGCACGTTGCAGTAGGCACACAGTGAATGTGGTGAGGATGGTGATGATTTCTCCGTGCACACAGCTGGCCGCTATTTCCAATTTGCAGGGCCCACAGCACGGGCCCAGAATCTCGGGGCTGGGGGGCTCTGAATGTTTACTGAGGGCCTTGTGTCATTGCTCCCTGCCACCCTTGTGTCCAGTGGACCCAGGGTGCAGAGGAGGATGTCACCCTAGAGGGTTTGTGTGCACCTGTGTGATCCCCAGCTCAGCCCTGCCCAGCAGAAAGAGATGCCCCCAGGCTCCCTGCCTCAGGTGGCCTGGGGCTGAACCTTCCATGGCTTGGCCTGGAGGTGAATTCCAGAAGTGCCTGGGTACGGAGCCACGCCTGCTGGGGGGGGCCCAGGTCACAGGGAACTGAGAGGGCCAGGCCTGGACTCTGTCCCTGCCCCTGCCCAGTGTCACTGGCTGCCCTTCCCCCCAGGACAGCACTCAATGACTCCTTCAGGTCCTCAGCCAATTGAGGGTCTTCTATGATGCCCTGGGCCTCAGTTTCCCCACTGGGCCAGCACATAATCTTTGACTCTCAAAAGGCTGGGACCTCTCAGAAGGCAGTGACTTCCTGCCCTGGGGTGAGGGTTCTGGGTGTCCTGCTCTCTCTCAGCCCAGGGATTTTAGTTTCTTTGGGACAGACAGTCCGAGCCTCAGGCTGCAGTTCCCTAAGCCCGGGGAACCCCTCTGGGAGGCCCTGGGTGCCCCTCCAGCCCTTTTCTGCAGGCCAGGAGTCTCAGTTGAGGCCCCCACGCCCCCTCCTCGTTTCTGAGAACCTGCTTTGGATTCTAGCGGAGCCCCACCCTGGCCTTGAGCTGCAGATAAGGCAGGCTGTTATCAGGGTGCCCAGGGGCCTGCCATACCCTGCCCATACCCCAGGCTGCAGAGCAGCCAGATCCCTGCCCATCAACTGAATGGGTGGGGGCCAGAGGCAGCCTCCTTCTCCTCTGGGGGCCTCCTGCAGGGTCAGAGATTGGGGTTGAGCTAGCATGCTATGGAGAAGTTGCTTCCCTCTCTCCCAGGGGGCACAGACCCCTGCTATTTCATTATTTATTAATTTATTGATTTGGTTTTTGTTATTTGAGACAGGGTCTTGCTATGTAGTTCAGACCGGACTTGAACTCACTATGTAGCCCAGGCTAGCCTTGAATTCACAGGGATCTTCCTCCATCAGCTTCCCAAGTGCTAGAATTATAGGGATGAGCCACCATGCCTGGAAGTTAGTTTTTTGATATTTTTATTTATTTATCTATTTATTTTATTTTTATTTTTTGGCACTGGGAATCGAACTCAGGACCTTGCACTTGCCAGGCAGGCACGGTGCCACTGAGCTAAATCCCCAGCCCATATTTATATTTATTTTTTGATACAGGGTCCTACTATGTAATTCAGGCTGGCCTTAAACTCAATGGTGATCCTCCTGCCTCAGCCTCTGCCCTCTGGAGTGCTGGGATTACAGGCATGCAGCACCATGGCGGCTCATGGCCCCAGGCCCTTAAGAGAGAGAAGGGACTTGGACTTCCCATCCCTCAGCCCCGCTAGGCTCATAGCTGGGCCCCGTGGCTCTCTGGTTCCCGGGCCGATGCTGTTGGGCAGAGGGCAGGCTGGGGCTGTGGCCACCCAGCACATCTTGGCCCAGGGCTGGGCGCGATAAGCAGGGACTCAGCCATTGCCCTGCACGCTCCTGATAATGACTCCTGCTGCCTCCCAGCCACACCCTACTCTGCCCTGACTGCCCCACCCAAGGGGGCCCTGTGGCAGTGAAGGCGGTAGGCAGGGCCCAGGCAGCTCTGGTCCCCTGGACACTGGGGTGTCTCCACATGCACCTGCCTGCCCCTTCTCCCCTGGTCCTAGAGGGAGAGGCGTCCGGGAGCTGGAGGTCTGTCCTCCCCCTACCAAAATCCTCCCAGGCCTGCACCTGGCCTGTTACCTCCTCCAGTCTTCCCTGTACCTGGGGAGTTACCAGTCTAGTCCTAGAGATGAGGAAACTGGCACTGCACTGGAGTGACTTCCCCCTATGTGGTGGTGCCAGAAGCCCTTCAGCCCTTCCCCAGGGCAGCGAGCTCTGTGCCTCACCATGTGTGACTCCAGGCCAGAGTGGCACCCCCCAGGTTTGATTCCCTTTTGTTTTTGTTTTTTTCTTTCTGCTACTGGGGTTTGAACTCAGGGCCTTCACACCAAGCTACAACCCTGGCCCTTTGTATTTTTTTTATTTTGAGACAGGGTCTTGCAAAGTCGCTAAATTGCCCAGGCTGGGCTCAAACTTGTGATCCTCCTGTCTCAGGCTCCCAGAGTGCTGGGGTGACAGGTGTGCACCAGTGTACCCCACTAAAGGAAAGTGGCCAGAAGAGGTGAGAAGAGGGTAGGCAGAGACAGCAGGAGAGACCTGGGACACGGAGGGAGGCTGGAGGAGGACACAGCAGGAGCTGGGGAGGTGGCCCTTAGCAGCTGCCGTAGCTACTGCCACCACCGCAGGGGCTTTTGGCTTCAGTGCTGCTCAGAGCCACTCCACTGTGCCTCCTCTCCCCAGCCTCCCTTTCGTCCCAGGCCTGGTTTCCCCAGGCACCCTCTCTGCCCTGTTCCTCCTCCCCTCCGTTCCTGCTGTCCTTTGTCACCCTTTCTCCTGCTCGTACTATCTCCCTCCCTGTCCACCCCCTGCTTTTCCTGGACCATAGCTTCCAGGAACAGGGGCAGCAGCCGACAAATCCAGCACCAGTGCCCGCCTGTGTGGTTCTTGGAAGCCTGGCCAGGCTGGGGGCAGCACCGCACTGGGTCCCTTTGTGTGCTCTGTCTGCAACCAGGCCACTTTCTGCTGCCCTTGGCTGAGGCACTTTTGCTGCAAAGTCAGATCCCCAAACTGGCCGGGGGACCCCCGAATATTGACCACCTCCTTCATTTCTCAGGGAGAGGGAAACCAAGGCGGGGCTTCCCGGGCTCCCATGGCTGTAACCAGATGTCCCCGAGTCCTCTCCCTCTGGGCTGTAGACAGGAAGGCTCTGGGGCCCCAGTGGAGTGGGGACTCCGTGGGGCAGGAGTGATGGCGTTGGCTGAGTGTCACCTGCACCAGGCTTTGGTTAAACGCCTGCTGGGTGAGCTCAGTCCTCACACAGGCCGGCATGGCAAGTGCCACTGTGGCCTTTGAGGGTGTAACCAGGGAGCGTCCTGGGGGCTTGGAGGACGAGTGCTGCTGAAGGTCCTCAGGGCTGCTGTGACTTCCTGGGGCTGGGATGAGTCCTGAGGCGGACAGACTCTATGGTGCATAGGAGCCTTCACAGGGACCCAAGTCACACTGAGTCTCCTCTGTCCTCGGTAGCTGAGCAGGGCATGGAGTCCTCAAGTGAGAGCTCTGAGCACTGGAAGGGAAACTGAATCATGCTTGCCCAGTCTCCTGAGGGGTGCATTTGGAGAGTCGGGCAGTGCTGGGCAGGGATACTGGGTGGGACTGCGTGGGTTGGGGTGGCTGCAGTGGGCACCGTGGGGTCCAGCTCAGATTTGGGGGGTGCCTGGCAGGAGTAATTCTGTTTCTTCCTGGTTTCCACTTCCCCTTCTTGGCCTGGCCCTTTTGCAGGCTCTGCATTTAGTTCCTTTGGGAATAGCCAAGGTTGAAGATTGGTCTCCTCATTTTTATTGATTTATAATTTACTATCATCAGTATCTTGGGGTGTTTTTAGTTTTGTTTGTTTTTGTTGTTTTTTTTTTGAGACGGGGTCTCACCATGTAGTTCAGACTGGCCTATGTAGCCTGAGCTGGCCTAGAACTCATGGCAATCCTCTTGCCTCAGGCTCCCAAGTGCTGGGACTACAGATGTGTGCCACCATGCCTGGCTTATATTTGATTTTTTAAGACAAGGTCTCAATATGCAGTCCAGGCTGGTCTTCAATTCGTAGTGATCCTCCTGGCACAGCCTCCTGAGTGCTGGGATGACAGGCGTGCAGTACCATGCCCGGCTGTGCACCTCATGTTTTTTCCCATTTTATTATATATTTTTTGAAGCAAAACATTTATTGGTACATTCTAGATATACACAATGATAACACCCATCGTAGGGAATTTGCACCTGTACATGATATATCCAGGCTCTCCTTTTTTCCCACTCCCCATTCCCCTCAGCCCCCTTCCCCTCCCTATATACAAAGGCTTTGTTTCCATTTTTTCCTTCTATTTTCACTTTTTTCCCTTGTCCCTTGCTTCCTTTCCTCCTCCCCCCTCCCTTGTTCTCCTTGCCATCTGAACATTTTCTTCCCATTTTCCAATATCTATTATAAGGACACGTCATTCTTAAATCCTGGGGGACAATGGATCACCAGCCTGGGGTGACCTTCTCAGTACATCATGTGTCTCGGAAGGAGCTGGCCTGGCTTGGGCTTAGGGCAAGGATGGGCCTCCGCTCCCATCCCGCACCCTGGTCGGCAGCCCCTGTGACCCCTGGGTGCCCTGCTTGCCTGAGCCTCTGCAGGGCCGCAGGCAGCTGGCCCAGCATGCCCGGGAGGCTCTGGCAGCTTTGGGCACCATCCAGCCCTGAGAGCAAGGCTAGGAGCAGAAGTCAGTGCACAAAGGGCGCTTTGCTGTGGAGCTGAAGCCTTGAATTTGTTTTCTTTAAATTTCCTGCAGCAGGAAGAGAAGCCTGAGCCACTGTTCCTGAAGTGTGGATTTCAGGTGGCTTCCAGGAGCTGATGTGTGGCCTCTGCCCTGTCCTGTCCTGCTCTAGGGGGATCTCAGGCGCCTGCCCCTGGGGTTTGGTGGCAGTCACCGCCCTTCTGGGATCCCAACTCTGGGCACCGAGGGCGTCCCTAGTGGGCTTCAGTTATCCACTTACCTGTTGGGGTTGGCTTGGTTTTAGGGGTGTGGGGATTGAACCTGGTGGATTTGCAAACTGAGCACAGACTCTGACTAAGTGATACCCCAACCAGTTATTTTTTTGTTTTGAATTTTCAGGTCACTTTTCCTGGTCCCTCATCCGTGGAATGGGAGGGTGGCACCAGGGGCTGCATGGCTCCTTCCAGCCCAGCCGTTCCCTTGGAGTTCAGACCAGGGCTGGATGAAGTTTCATCGGTACTGTGGGGGTGCCCCCCTGCAGGCCTTGCCAGCCAAGCCTCAGTAAACCACAGCCCAGTCCCTCCTGGCTCCCAGCAGGAGGAAGCAGCTCCTCCCACAAGCCCCCAGCCAGACCAGCAGTGCTCTGATCTCAAATTAGCATCAGCCTCTTATCTCTGCCCACTTTGAATGGCGCAAAGCCTGCCTTTCAGCTGCAGCCTTGTGACCGACTGTGAACTGAGGGCTCTGGGTGGAGATACAGTGCAGCCTGCACAGCCTCATGGCCTGAGGCTCAGTGGGGGAAGGAGGGGACCAATGGACAAGCTGTGGCCTGGACACAGCTGATCAGAAAATATGATGAGTGCTCACATTCAAAATCTTTATTACAGTAAAAGACACATTGCAACGAATCCCCCTCAAAACGCTCTCCCTTTGAAAACGCGTTTACCGTGTTCTTACCATGTTGTGAAGCAGTTCTGAAAGTCCTCTTTCCTGAGCATCTTTACAAGCTGTGATCAAAAATGCAATGATGGGGGGATTTAGCTCAGTGATGCTGTGCCTGCCTCAAAAGCGCAAGGTCCTGAGTTCAATCCCTGGTACTGGAAAAAAAAAAAAAATGCAGTGACTGCTGCTGCCAAGTTCCGTGCAATGGAAAGGCAGGCTCGTAAAAACATGATACTGTGTCCCCATCCACCTTATTCACTGGATCTGACACCCTGAGACTTCTGGCTGTTCCCCAAAGTCAAAATCACCATGAAAGGTCAATGTTTTAAATCAGTTCAGGATATTGAGGCAGCCAGGACAGCACAATTAAAGACACTCAGGAAAGAGGACTCAGAACTGTTGCAGAAAGTGGCAAGAATGATGGGATGAGCCTGTTTGAAGTAGGGGAGGGTTTTGAGGGGGATTCATGGCAATGTATCTTTTACTGTAATAGTATTTTTTTCTTAATTAAAGAATCACCGTATTTTTCCATCACACCCCGACAAACTCCTGCCCCTAAAGTGCCTGGAGCTCCATCAGGCCAGGCCCTGAGCCTTTGAGTCAGGCCCACTGCTCACGGCGAGCTGAGGACTGCCTCCTGCCATGCCTGGGCTCAGCTGTCCTTTCCCTCAGTCCTCAGCTGTCCTTTCCCTCAGTCCTCAGCCACCGGCTGGCCATGGGTGTGTGTGTCCCTGGGTAGCTGATGGCTCCCCCAGCACAGAGATCTCCCCAAGATCTCTAGCTTGGGTGGCCCAGGGTTGGGACTTCCTGTCTGTTACTTCAGGTCTTCCCAAGTATGCTGAGTCCCCAGGAGCCTTCCTATTTGGATAACTGAGTTTTGTTTTATTTTATTTTATTGGTTTTCTGAAACAGGGTCTTATTATGAAGCCCAGGCTGCCCTAGAGCTTGTATCAATCCTCCTGCCTCAACCTCCTAAGTGCAGAGATTACAGGTGTGCCAACTATGCCCAGCTTCCAGGAGCCTTTCTATTTGAACAGCTGAGCATTTATTTTAATGACTAGAAAAGAATGGGTAGTTAGGTCAGAAGAGGCTTGACCTGACCAAGAACTGAAGGATTTGAAGACAAGCATTTTTATGAGGCAGGCAGTGGAACCACTGAGCTAAATCCTGGCTCTTGTTTTTTTGTTATTGTACTGGGAATCGAACTCAAGACCTTGCGTTTTCAAGGTAGCTGGCAGCACCACTGGATGAGTATTTTTAAAAAGATCAATTCAAAGCAATGGGAGGGGCTGTAGATATTAATGGATTGTGCATAGTCCCTCCTCCTTCACCAAGTATTTTCTACAAAGTGAGATGAGTCACGGTTGCTGCAGTGACAACGGCCAGGGAGAAAGTGGAGCAGGTGATGCATGGATGTGGTAAAGATCAGGATGGGAACTTGGATGACTCCAGGTTGGGTAACGCCCATTTCTCAGGTCGCCGCTCACAGAGGCCCTGTGAGAGGTGTCCCTGTGTCATGGAGCTGAGGACAGGTCCAGGACGGCTGGACGAGCTGCCCAGCACCACTCCATCCTCGTCACTGGCAGTGACTGGCTCTCTGTGGCGTGGTGGCCTAGACTCCCCCAGGCTGCAGCCAGGGCTGGCAGGTCACCGTACCCCGCAGCAGCCGCACCAGGCAGGGCTTGTCCCTGGCCAGAAGGAGAAGCAGAAGCAGAAGCTTATCCCCGGCTCACAGCTGTGGTGGGGCACATTGCAGGTTGCGGGTCCGGAGGGAGCACAGCAAGAGGCAGAGCCAGATGGGGACCAAGAGCAGCAGCGCCTGCGCAGCAGTGGGGTCACCCAGGGGCCTCACAGATGCCAGGAACTAAATCTGTCCCGTGAGGTTGCTGGTCTCCACCAGGCCTCCGTGTCCTAATCTGGTGACAGGTGAGGTCGACTTGTGACTAAGGAGAGCCGTGGACTGGACAAGGACGTCACACCCAGTTGGCCCAGACATGGCCCCGGGACCCCACAAGGATGGCAGGCTTCTTCCCCAGAAGCCAGCTGCGCAGGTCATTTGCCTGGGGCTTCACACCTGTGTACCACTCACCTTAGGGTGACCCGCTACCACCCTGTCCCTCCACCTCTGCTCTGTTGGCACCCGTTAGGTTTCAAGCTGTGTCGTGCTATGGTAGAGAGGCAAACACTGGTAGTGAGCGCATGTAACGAGTGTGTTTCATGTGAGGCACAGGTTTGTGCAGTGAAGCTGGTCATAATATATGGTGTGTGTTTCAGGAAAGAAATTCATTACAGCCAAAGACCCATTGCTGTGAATCCCCTTAAAATCCTCCTCATTTGAATACACTCATCCCATCGTCCTTGCCACTTTCTGAAGCAGTTCTGGAAGTCCTCTTTTGTGAGCGCCTTTATGAGCTGTGATTAAAAAAAAAAAAATGCTGTGAATGCTGCTGCCGAGTGCCATCCAAAGGAAAGGCAGGCTTGGAAAAAACATCACGGTGTGGCCTCATCCACCTTATTCACCAGCTCTGGCACTGTGTCACTTCTGCCTCTTCCCCAGAGTCAAAATGACAATGAAAGGTCAATGCTCTGAATCGAGGCAGCCATTTCAGCTCAACTAAAGACACTCACAACAGAGGACTTCCAGAACTGCTTCAGGAAGTGGTAAGAATGATGGGATGTGTGCTCTCAAAATGAGGAGGAGGATTTTGAGAAGGATTTGTGGCAATGTGTCTTTAACTGTAATACATTAGAATTAAACATGCACCATACTTCTTGATCACACTTCATAAGGATGAGGGTGCGTTGGCCTCCAGAAACTTGGGGCTTCCTGAGGGGCGGAGAGAAGCTTGCTTGCGAAACCCTGAATGGCCACCAGCTCGTATGAGTAGTGCTAGGAGAGCTGCTGCCAGCCATGGGGTGAGGGACCCAAGGAAGTGCTCAACCTCTCCTAGGGGCGGGAGCCTCCTTCAGGAGCTCAGGAGGGAAAGCTCCCTCCTCCCAGGGCTGGGGGGCAGCCAAGGAAATTTGGTCCATAGTGAGGTTAATGGACAGCATAGGGTGCAGAGACTTCCATTCTCCAACTGCCCCCTCATCAAAGCCTGTGAGCTGAGGGGGTCGGGGATCAGCTCTCCTGGACAGAAGGGAAAACTGGGGCTCAGGTGAGTGCATCAAGCTGCCTGTCCTCAGCCTAAGGCAGCTGAGTTGGCATCCAGACCCCTGAAACAGGAGGAGGACAGGCTACAGGTGGGCTGGGGCCTGGGGGTTGGGGACAGGATGGTGACCGTGGGGCCTGCAGAAAAGAAACAGAGGAGAGGGAAGGAAGAGGGTTGGGTCTCAGTCCCAGGAAAGCAGCAGTAGGAGAAATGGGCACAGGTGATTCCCGACGAGGACCAGGGAAGAGAGAGAAGGTGCCGTGGGCGCCTACTGTTGGTACGGAGAGATCGTTGGTATGGGTAAGAGAAACCCCAAACCCTTCAGTTCCAGAAACTGGCTGTCTGCTGCAGAGATGAGTCGTTGCTCGCTCTCTCTCTCTCTTTTTTTTTTTTTTTTTTGGTACCGGGGATCCAACTCGGGTCCTTGCACTTGTGCAGCAGGTGGTAAAACCGCTGAGCTAAATCCTCGGCCTTGCTCTCTCTCTTTTTAAACCTTAAAAACCACAGAATGAAGCTTTTCTTTGGCCATTTTAGTTTTTTTGAGACAGGGTCTCACTATGTAGTTCAGACTGGCCTTGAACTCATATGTAGCCCTGGCTGGCCTCACTCAGTGACCCTCCTGCCTCAGCCTCCCAAGTGTTGTGATCACAGGCGTGGACCACCACACTCAGTCCGTTGTATTATTTTTTTTTTTTGGTACCAGGGATTGAACTTGGGACCTTGCACTTCCAAGGCAGGCGCTGGAACCACTGAGCTAAATCCCCGGTCCCCATTGTATTCTTTTTAACACCTTGAAGCCAGTCCAGGGTGGGCTAGCAGCGGTCTCTCTTGGCCTTTGCAGGACAGTGGCGGCTCTGCTGAGAGCCACTTGGATTGGCTCGTGGTGTCACTCAGCACCTGCAGAGACTTCTACACTGACCTTCATGTTATCATAGGGGAAGCAGGTACTGAGCAGCCAAGCACCCAGCTGAAGAGCACACAGCAAACATGTGACAGAGCCCAGGTGGGGCCTAGAGATTGCCCCAGGGTTGCTTCCAGCCACCAGGGCTCCTCAGTCCTGAGCACCCCCACATGCCAAGCCCTCTAACTTCTACCCTTGCTCATCTCCAAGATCCCTGCAACTTAGACATTGCTCTTCTTTTTAAATAAATGCTTTTTTTCCCCCTAATTACAAAAGTTAGACATACTTTGGATTTTTTTTTTTTTTTTTGGAGCCAGTATTTGGCTGTGTTGCTCAGGCTGGGCCCCAACTCCTGGGCTCAAGCCATCTTCCTGCCTCAGCCTCCTGAGTAGCTGAGACTATAGGCATACGCCACCATCCCCACCTATATTTGGGGCAGATTGAAAAATATAGAAAAACATAAAGAGGAAAATTAAATCCTTGTGATCCTTCAACCCAGAACTAAGCCCCGTTAATATTTTGGGGAACATCTTTCTAGTCTTTCTTCTTTTTATCAACATGCATTTTTACTAAAAATTGTTGCTGGTTGCACATGCTGTGATCTCAGCACTCAAGAGGATTGCTGCGAGTTTCAGGGCAGCCTCTGCTACATAGCAAGAACCTGTCTCAAAAAACCAAAGAAAGAGGGGTTGGGGATTTAGCTCAGTGGTTTTGCCTCCTGCTGTGCAACCGCAAGGACCTGAGTTCAATCCCCGGTACCAAAAAAAAAAACTAAGGAAAGAAAAGAAATTTTATTTTTTGGTACCAGGGATCGAAGTCAGGACCTTACACTTGTGAGGCAGGTGGTGGAACCACTGAGCTAAATCCCCGGCCCAGAAATTATTTTTCAAAAAGTCAAGAAGGCAGCCAGTTGTTTTTGT